TACTTTTTAGAATGTTTTTAAATGGGTAAATAATCAAAGAAAAATAATACATCATGACATATGAAAACAATATCACATCTGTATTTCAGTGTTGATAGTATTTGACAACAGTGCAGTCATGTACATTAATTTATTGGCTACGGCAGCTTTCATACTACAATGACAGTTGTCATGTCAGCAATGGTATAGCTCACAGAACTTAAAAACTGTACTCTGGTTCTTCATAGAAGTTTGTTTACCCTTGTAAAATGAAGATAGAAAATATAATTATTATTAGCACTGTGTTCAGATAGCAGAGATTTGAAAGTATGACAAATTCGCACTTTTCAAAAATCAGTGAAATTTGGTACATTTCTATGAAGAGGAAAGTGTATATAGTTTTGAAATGCTTATATGAATAATATAACTCTGCATTTACAACTGAGAAATGAGAACTACTTATCTCAATGTAGAAAAATGTTAAAACAAATTTGAATGAACAAGAGTTTCAAAGTACTACATTAAAATAATGTATGCATATAAATCTGAAATATCAAATAATACTTCATATAGTTTATGTCTCTATGCTGCAAATGATTAAAATTTAAATTGGAAAAATGATTAGCAAATTCATAATGGAAAAGTATGGAAGGAAGTGGGGCTTAGAAGGGATACAGATGGACTACTATTGTAATATTTCTTTTTCTTTTTTGCTTCTTTATTTCTTTAAAAAATTAAGATACAAAGAAATAAAAAATTAAGATACAAAGAAATTGAAAGATATGATTATTAATTCTAGATATTAAGGATATGGATGATTTTTATGCATTTTGTGCATAATAAAGATAATTTAAAATGAAAAGAAAATCAACATGGGTATAGAAATATATTTTATTTTTATTTTTTATTTTCTATCAAAAGAAATATGAACTCTGGTAATATAATACACATGGGCAGAGTTATCACCAACAAGCTATTTAAGCAGAAATTGACAATAGTCAGATATAAATAATATTTTCCCAAATTAAAAATACTTTATATCATGACTAATTTATCTAAAATAAAAATTATAATAAGCATAACAATAGCCTTTATGAAATGCCCCATAGATATTAGAACTACCATGATCCACAACACGGAACTCTCCCAAGATCAATGTAAGAGTTTAAAACCAAGTGAAAACTGACACAGTTTTCTGATAAAAACTTTATTGCCCACAATAACTGCAGAGATCATAAAATATTACTGTTCATTGATTACATATGACAACCAAATTCCAGTAACTGCGGCATTAGCTTTCCAGTTCTTTGATAACTTGGCTTACTGGCCTCAGGGACTTTGAAGTTCTGTCACTGCCTTATTTTGTAAGGCACATGGAACCTCATTTTACCCCTACCTCATTTGCTCTGAAAGCTTAGATAAGATGAAAGGACAAAATAATAGGCTGGACATATGGTTACTATAACTGAAAAGAGAGTGCTTGACTGATAAATCTCAAATAAGGTACATTTCATGGTTAACTTTGAACATGGGCCCTGCTACGTCCTCTTCCAGTAAGTCTCCACATTTGACTATCTGTAGAACAAGTACACTGAACTCTGAAACTCAGTATAGTTTAAAAATGAGTATACTTCATCTTGTCTAAACATATTTGACTCAGAAGATAAGAGATAAAAATTACAAGGTGGGATAGCTTATCTTTTGATAAAGGAAAATTCTTAAAACTCAGCTTTGGTTATTCTAAGAATGAGAATTCCCTTCTTCCTAAGAAGCTAATCATAAATTACTCAAAACCAGCTGGCTATAGTACTTGAACACATTTCTTAGTGCCCAGCTATTGTCAGAAAGAACACTTACAACCCAAACAAAAACAATTGAAATTTAGTTAGTCATTGAGCTTAGTGAGTTGTCATATAAAACAAAAGTATTACATTACAGTTGAGGATATAATAATCTTAAGGTATATTATGCATGTCACATTACTTCCATTATAAAGAAAAAGAAATCTGAGTTTTAACGGACTCTCATGGAAGAACCTGAGTTTAACTGCCTGATACCTGATAGTGTTGCGCATTCAAAAAGAGTGTAAATCAAACCTAGATTGAAAAGGAAGAGAGACACTATTGAGGGGTCCTTCCAACTCTGGCCCTGATTGCAGATCCCAGGCACGAACCTGGCCATGACTTAAACCAACCTCCTTATAGATAAATGAAGGCCTCGCAGTCACTCTGTCCTTGAAACCCTTCATATTTGGAAAGATGCAGTCTGATGACTTGAGCATTTTAAATTTTGTTTTTGTTGTCTTAGTTTTTGTCTTTTTGAGACAGGATCTCACTATGTAGTTCAGGCTGGCCTTGAGCTCACTTTGTACCCCAGGCTGGTCTTGAACTTGCACCGATCCTCCTGCCTCAGCCTCCCCAGTGCTGGGATTACAGGCTTGCACCACTATGCCCGGCTTGAACATTTTTTAAACTCTGGAATTGTGAATTTTCTCCTGGTTTAGAACAAGATATTGGCTACTCCGTTGTGTTTCCTTGTTTTACACATTTGATTACACAGTCATATGTCAGGTAGCCCAACAGCAGACATTTTGAATATTTTATTATTTATTTATAATAATTCGATTTGCTAGTTAGACTTGTAAAATTTCTTTTCATCAATATGTATATATACTTCTACATAAAAATATCACTCTAATTTATGAGAATGGGGGAAACTACATATGTGTTATCAATGAATGGGAGACTGTAAATCAAATGATAATGTCCTCTTTGAAGAATTTCAAATGCACAGAAAAGTTGAAAGCAAGGATGAACACCCTAATCTTCCACTTGTCATTAATTGTTATCATTTTTAAATATTTGCTTAGTTTATTTCTCTACCATCTGTCCCTCTCCACACAGACATACTTTTTCTCGGATACTTTGAAAGCTGTAGATATGATATACCCTAATTACTTTGTCATAACAATATACTTTCCATGTACTTTAATATTAATGTATTATCAAAGTATATGGAAATTTTCTACTTACTTTACTTACATTTCAAATTCTGGCATAACTAAATATCAGTGCACATTCATATTTTCACAGTTCTCTCCCCTAGATGACTTATTTTATTGAAGGAGAGTTACTTAGTTTGCTTGCCAGATTTGGATTTCACAATTTTAAATATTCTTTTAATCTAAAATTGTTTATTTTTTCTGTGATATTGAATTTTTCAACAGTTTGGAACACAGGCCATTCTCACTATGTGATCTCTGTTATTGACTTTTTTCAAATAATTCTTTTAATCTCATAAAGCTACATCACAAATCATCACATTAACTATCACATTTTCTTGATATATTTTTTAAGCATTAAAAATGTCCACTAAGTTCTCACTGCAGTAATGGCTCTGAGTTTGAAATTGTTTTGTAACTATTTCCTAGATTTTTTTCCTTTTTAACAAAAGAACCCATTGGCTATATTACTAAATATTTGAGGGTTCTATTGGCTCTTGAATATTTGGTATGTTAATTATCAGCTTAATTGCATAATCTCACTACAAATACTTTTTATACATACTTGTGCACAAGCTGCCCTATAGCAATAGTAATGTGACAATCTCTCTTTAGGAATTCTCAGTTTAAAATTCTGAGGAGTTTTCAAAATGAACCTAAAGAATAATGTAGAACCACACAGTGTGTTTCTGAAATAGTACCAAATTGCCAACTGAAAAGTAAGCTTAATTTTAGAAGGTTTCATCAGCATATGCACTTGAGGCTGGCCGCCTTCTCAACAATAATGTAATGAAATTGGCTTTTAATCTATAGTCAGGTTATCATCCTGCAAGGGAATTCATAGGTAGCCTAAGAAGAGTGAGCATCTCACTGCAGAAGCCTGACTTTTTTGCAATGTGGAGTTGTCTTTAAAGTTCTGGGCAAGGCCTACCTCAACCCTTTTCCAGTTTCTATTCACTTCCTTTGACTTGTATTATTTGATTGTAATCTCCCTACAGGTTTGTATTTCCTCATAGCCTCCTCTTCTATCACTTTGTCATTATCCATTAGAAAAACACCATTTTTTAGAAGATAGGGAAGACAAGCTCATTCATTTGACTATCCTTACATTTTGCCAGCCACTAGCTTGCTAGTTATGACTTTTTAAAAGAAGAATTAACAACCATCTTTAAGCAGCAAACCTGAGGCATCACACCTACTCTTAGGTTTAGTCTTTTCTATGTCCTTAAATATAGGTGCGACTTCAAATTCTTATACTCATCCCCTCTTCTAACCCATAATTTATTTAATCAAACTAGACAGAGTAAAAAGAAATACGTGTGTTTCCCTACACAGGTAAGTTCTTGACAAATACTAGAGGAATTTTCTTTGGCTGTGCACCTTTAGAACTTCAGCATGAAATTTCACAGCAAATATCATGGAACAGGACCATGATTAGGCAGAAGCAAAAGGAAAAAGAATTCATCTATTACTGTGGGGAAAGATGGGGAACTAACTGGAAGGAAGCGGCATCTATAGAAATTCGAGCATTTTCCAGGGAGAATCTCCCCCCAGTGGTGGAAATTTCTTTGAACCAATACCAAGCCCTGTGTATGACTCCACCCTACCTACACACACCTGTTATTCAAACCGTTGCCCCTCCCTCAGATCTTCTTATAAAAATCTGTCTTTCCTGATGCTACAAACCATCCCAGGTTCGACAAGACAGGTGAGTGGGCCTTATGGGAAGATGAGAGTCCTAGCAAGGGCTGTACTTCACGAATTACAGGAGAGGGTGAGGAGGGTCCTTGACCTCAAATAACACAGAAGACCTGAGACTCAGCCAAGCCTGCCCTTGGAGTCCTCAGGGAATGGAGGGGACATATTCCCAGGCATTTCAAGTTACAGAAGGGAAGGCATGTAACAAAGATCAGTGCATCTCACAGGACTAGACAAAGGAGAAGGGAAAAGGCAATAGGGTCTCTGGATATCCTCCCACTAACCACAGGTCCTTCAGAGACTGTCTCCTCACCCACAGACAGCATGTTGCCTCCCATGGCATTCCACATCTTGTCCTGGATGCTCCTGTCCAGCCTGATGCTCCTACCTCAGGTGCAAGGTGAGACTTCTCTACAAAAAAGGGAGAAAGGTCCCTTCCTGTGTGTCTCCTGTAGCAATGGTGGGCTGTACCCTCTGTGAGGAAACTGTTTGCAATTTCCCCATCATGCTCCCTTCCGTCTGGTTATCAGTAATGGGTTCACCAGCAGTCCATCATAAGTGGAAGCAAATGGCCTCTCTCTTGGTCAGGAACCTCTAAGTTATGAAGTTGGGTTCGAGATGAAAGACGTTAAAGGTCAGGAACAACATTTATGCGAGGCAAGTATTGGAGAACACAGTGCAGGAACTGTCAGCCAAGAACTGTGGACAATGAATGAGGCAGGAGGTAAAAGGCAATGGATGCGCCCCATTTAAGAGCTCTCTTGATCTCAATATCAAGAGAGAGCAGGAAAATGAGCTAGGAATTCAGAGTTATAGACTAATATCCAAGGACTGTCCTCATAACTGTGTCCTCAATTAGCTTGCCCATTCACATTTCACACATCCCCCTTTTGTCTCCCTCCATGCCAGGACAAGACCCCCAAGACGAAGTGGCCTCACCACGAATCAGCTGTCCCAAAGGTTCCAAGGCCTTTGGCTTCTACTGCTACGCCTTCTTTAGAACACCCAAATCCTGGTTTGATGCAGATGTGAGTGTCTAGAGGTCATGTGGGGAGTCACACGGTGAAGGACAAGTGGATCATGGAGGAGGAGGTCTCCAAAATCCAAATTCATGGAAAGAGAGTAAACCACCTACCTGTGCCTTGGCGTACCCCCCTGAGATTTCATGCTACTTCTTATTCTCTCTCTTCCGTGCAGTTGGCCTGCCAGAGTCGGCCCTCAGGACATCTTGTGTCTGTGCTTAGTGGAACTGAAGCATCATTTGTGTCCTCTCTAGTCAAGAGCAATACAAACACCTACCAATACATCTGGATCGGGCTCCATGACCCCACACTGGTGTGATTTCATCTTTACCTCTCTGTTACCTATCATGTGACTATTATCATCCAGGTTCACCCTCCTGTGCCTACCCAGAAAGAATGCCCAAAGCCAGAGGCCTCAGATTCTGAGTGACATTTGGGACAAAAAGAAATCATTGATGCCAGCTGAAGAGTTGGTTTTGTGCAGATCGCTAGTTTTCAGATTAGTTACTCTGCCTGTTTTCAAGGGCTATGCCATTCTCACATGAAGCCTTGGAACTCAGTTTCCTGAGCTTCATTGAGTTTGCACATACTATTTCAAGGGAATCCTAAGGAGAAATGATGTTAATATTTGCTCTTTTTAGGTAAGAGATTTTCATGAGGCTCGTAGGAAACTCCAAATGCATCACCAGTCATATTCTACAAGAAACATGTTATTTTGGGTTGGCCCAGAGTTCTTGTGATTACTGGCTGGGATTTCTCAGTGAGGGAGGAATTTAGGGAGAGTATTGCTTTAGAAGGCTCTGGGCAGCCTGTGGGGAAGCAGACCGAATTCCAGAAGGCTGGAGAGGGAGTCGGATGTTCCAGTGAAGAGATCATGAAAGCAGAGGTTAAATGACATTTCATTCATCTGGCTGCATCCTCTGCTCTACAGGGCTATGACCTCAATGGAGGTGGCTGGGAGTGGAGTAGTACTGATGTGCTGGATTACTTCAACTGGGAGAGGAATCCTTCCTCTGCCTCCGACCGTGGTTACTGTGGGAGCTTGTCACGCATCTCAGGTAAGAGATAAGAGCCATCTCTGTCCAGCCGTTTCTACCTCTCTTTCCCTTTCCTGGGCCTGACCTTCAGGGAATCCTGCTGAGCTAGAAAAATGATGATTTGCCTTCTCCTGTGTCCTTGCATCTCTTCTTTCTTTGCATCTCTTTTCTCTGGAAAGGGTCACTGATGAAGACAGTAGGTGGTAGAACTTAGGCCAGGACCTGAGATGTTTTGTTACTGGATTTGTATGATCCAACAGTCCCACTCACTTTGACTCTTTTGTCCTCTCCAGGATATCTTAAGTGGAGAGATTATAGCTGCAATGTGCATTTACCTTATGTCTGCAAGTTCAAGGACTAGGATGAACAGCTATCTGAATTTGCATGCAGCTAACCATGAGCAAGATTCAGGATCTGAAGAATCACCCAAGGAGGGAGTTTTCTCTCTCCACACCCAAACCTGAGCCCTGCTTCTGATCTTCCCTCCTCTACTTTCCTTCTCACCCTAATTTCAGGCCCTTCTGTACTATGCAGTGTGGCTTGAGGCTTCAGAGAGCAATAATAAAATTTTAGTGTGCACTTGCATCGATTTCTGATCTTTTTATCACAAGAATGTGGAAGAGGGTGGATTGGTTGAGGACGGTGACTTTGAGATTTACCTCTTTCTAATTCCACCAATGCCTACAGGAATCTGCCTGGGTGAGCATCTGCACCAGTGTATTGTGATGAGGTTGTTGGTATTGTTCATGGAATATTGTGTTGTCTTCAGATAAAGACAATGCCTTCCTATACACTCACTGCCCCCAGAGTCCCCCTCATGTTGGAATACAAAAAGCTTTAGAATCTTCTGACATTAGCTTACAGTGTTTTTCAAATTGTTTTCTCTGAAGTATCATATTTTTCTTAGGATACAATCCACCATGAACTGTAACTTGGGCAAGACATAGTAAGAAATAGAACAGCCTGAGGTCCTGCCTACCACCCTTGCGGCAGCACTGGGTTCTGCAGGCAGGGCTGAGACGGATAGATATCTATGGGTAGAGAGAGGGTGAATAACACCTGGGCTGGTTGTGATTTGGTAACACTTTAGACAAGAAAAGCCTGTGGAGAGAAGAAATGGCAATACCCACAATATCCCCCCGACACCACCACAAATGAATGAATGACTACTTGTAACTACAGTGCTGACAAAGGATTAAGGGACATGGTTACTCCTTTCTTTCAGTCTCTCACACACACAAATCTAAAGTTATTTTAAACCAATATGTTTTCTTTGGACTTACCAGGGAATTGAGGTAGCAAGCAAATATCTTCCCTGACTTTTTCAGCATTCAAATACATATAAAGTCCATTTAATTTTTGCTTACCTGGGCCAGAAACCTATAGAATTATAGACTGTTAGCAAGCAAGCTATAATTGCTTAATGGTGATTATGGAATGGCATTATTAACAGTGAAAAATTCCAGAAGGTTGTATCCCTGGGTAGTTTCTAGCCCTTCATGGGTTTTGTACACCATGTTTGCATGGAGAAAGGTCAAGAACAATTTGCTCATGCCTCCAGCAGGGGAAAAATAAAGAAACCATTTGTAATTAACCTAGAATATTCTCTATACAAAAGGTTTACTTCCAGATAAAACTACCTTGTGTGGATCTTAACATGTGCAGAAGTGAGGCAGTTACCCAGCGTTCACCTTTTCTATCCTCCTTGTGTTGCCTAAAGTTGAGAAAGCTAAGCAACCTTCCTGAAGATCATGACCCTGGGACATAAGTTCATAAAAAGTTAAGATTTAATTATGAGATTATATAATCCTCCCTCTTATACAGATGCTATCATTTGAATGGGGACCCAGTATAATAATAATGAATAGTTGGAAGAGTTGCAAAGCATACAGTTTATTTAAGAAGGAACTTATAGAAAATTCCAAAAACAATAGGAGAAATAAGACCAACATCAGTAGAGAAATTTTAACTTTATGGCTCCATAGCTATAGCCAACAGTAAACACAAACCAAGACTTAGAGCAAGTTATGTTAACCTCACAGCAATCCAAAGAAACTATAAAACTGGCTTAAAAGAAAAGACAAACTTCATATAAGGAAACCTGCAAGGATGGAGCAAAGCAGGCCTAAGGCAGAAGTCATGGAAGCTGTAACCAGCAGAAGTGTCACAGGGGTGAAGTCATGAAAGCCCTTTGGAGCTTACAATGTGCCACAGATTGCTTCAAATGCTGGTCATGGAACTACAGGACATAATGCTAGCCCTGCTGAAATTTGGACTTGCTTTGGTCCCAAAGCTCTGTGTCCCCCTGTTTGTACCTTTTGGAATGGTACTGCTTATTTTGTGCCTTTGAATGTTGGAAGTGTTTAACTTTTCATTTGTACAGGCCTCATAGCTAAGTTTGCCTTACATCTCAGAGGAGACTTGGGACTTGAATTCTTCAGCAGTGCTGAAACTGTTAGGACTTTGGCAACTCTTGCAGATGGAGTAAATGCTGTTTGTATAAAGGGATGGACATGAGTCTTTAGGGGACCAGGGGTGGAATGTTATGGTTTGTGTCGGGGTGTACCCCCAAAAGCCTCATGCAGTCATGGGGCAGGCTTTTAAAGTTTGACTGATTATAGGTGTGAGAGCTACACTGCCCTGGGGTGGCTAATTTGCATATGTAAGGGAGAGGAAGAGGTTGCTTGCCGCCACTCCTCCCTTTTGTGCTTGTTGCTTTTGCTGTGTTCTGCCGCCATGAGTTGTAGCCCTCTGCCATTGTGCCACTCTGCCTTGTAACCAGCCAAGTATAGACTGAAACCTCCACAAACTGTAAGCAAAATAAACCTTTCCTTCCTTAAGTTTGGGAGACAGGTATTTTGTCCCAACTATGAGAGAAAAGTAACCAAGATATGGAGAAATAAGAACATTCCACTAAAAAGAACACCTTAAACAATTCCTGAACACCAAATCAGGACTCCAAAAGATACTCAAGAATATCCTAGATGGAGAAAATGAAGCTAACAAAGCCAAAAGCTCAGATGGAATGAATACATCAAACAAGACAAGCAGTAAAACAAAAATAGGAAAATAAAAGAGTCAGCAATAATGACAGTTGCACAATGACAGTAATAAGTCAATACCTTTCAGTAATAACTCTCAATATATATGATCTCAACTTCCCACTTGAAACAGATTGGCAGACTAGATCAAAAAAACAAAACCTATGGTCTATTGCATTCAAGAGACTCATATAATCTGAAAAGAAATTCATAGACTAAAAATCAAAGGTTGGAAAAAATATTCTATGCACTAGGACCATGAAAGCAAGCAGTTCAGACAAAGTAAAATTCAAGGTAAAGGTGATTAGAAGAGGCAAAGAAGGTCACTACATATTAGTTACAAGAACAGTTCAACAAGCGATAACAGTGTAAATATATATGCACTGAATATTGGTGTACTAACCTTCATAAAACAAACACCACTGGACATAAAATAGCAAATAAATGTCAACACACTCAGAGTGTGTGACCTCAGTACCCCACTTTCACAAATAGACAGATCAACTAAACAAAAATTAACAATATCAGAGTTGAACCACACCTTCAAACAAATGGATTTGGTAGATATCTACAGAATGTTCCATCTTACTGCAACAGAATACCCATTCTTCAGAGCACACATGGAACATTCTTCAAAATAAACCACATATTTTTTCAAAAAGCCTGCTTAAGCAAGTACAAAAGAATCAAAATAATCCCAGATATACTGATCCCAGCACAGTAAAACTAGAAAGAAATTGTAAAAGAAACCACAGAAAGCTTTCAAACATGTGGAAATTAAATAGCAGACTATTGAACACTTAATGGGCCACAGAAGAAATGAAGGAAGAAATTAAATAATTCCCAGAGTCAAACAACAATACCGCTACAACATACCAGAACCCATAGGATACAATGAAAGCAGTCCTAAGAAGGAAGTATATTGCTGTGAATGCTCACACCAGAAGAAGAGATCAAATAAATGAACTAATGATACGTCTCAGGACACTACAGAAACAAGAATTATACCAATGCAAGCCTAGTAAGAAGAGGAAAATTATAAACATTAGAGCACAAATTAATGAAATTGAAACTAAAAACAAAGCAAAGAATCAATGCATCAAAGAGCTGATTCTCTGAAAAAAATAAATGAAATAGACAAACCATTTAGTAAGTTTAAGACAAACTTTCCGAAAGAAGGAAAGTAAAGACCCATATCCATGCAATAAGAAATAAAAAAGGAACAGTCACAATAAACGTCACCAAAATCCAGAAGATCACTAGTAACTACTATAAAAAATTGTGCAGTAATTCCCTGCCTTATGAACGTTCAAGTTGTGAGTTTTCACAGGGTTCATGTATGACTCACTTTGTCAGCTGTAGGAATGAATCCAACATATGAATGTTCACCTAGAATGGAACTTGTTCATAAGTCAGAGACTTACTGTATTCCAACTGCTTTAAGAAAATCTCTACTTCAATAAATTTGAGAATTCAAATAAAATGTATAGTTCCTACATGAATCAAGAAGATATAAAAACCCTGAATAATCCAGTAACAGGCAAAGAAAATGAAACAGTAATTTAAAAAATTATCAAGAGAAATCCAGGATCTAATGGAGTCAATGTGGAATTCCTAAAGAACTTCAGGGAAGATCTAATGTCAATAATTCTCAAATTCTTTAATAAAATGAAGAGAAAAGAATACTTCCAAACTCAATCCTGGAAGCTACCTTTACTGTGATTACAAAACCAGGCAAAAACCTCACTAAAAAATATAACTGTAGGCCAATTTATTTAATGAAGACAGATGCAAATATGCTAAATAAAACACTGCCATATGTTATACAAGAAATCATCAAATAGATAGGACATCACGAATAAGTAGGTTTTACCTCAAGAATGTAAGTATGGTTCAACATATCTAGTCAAATTCATGTAATACACCACCTGAATGAAAGCAAAAATGAAAGTCTCATAATCATGTTAATAGATACAGAAAATCTTTTGACAGAAATGCAGTATTCATTCATGATGAGAACTCGCAGACAAAATAGGTGGACTTTCTATTTTCAGGTTTTTAAGGAATCTTTATACTGTTTTTCATAGTGGTGGTACTAGTTTACACTCCCACCAATAATGTAGAATTGTTCCTTTTTCTCCAGAGCCTCATCAGTATCTCCCACGTAGAGGCAGATGGAAGACAAGACCGCTCAGCTGTGTTGCTTTGAAGATGGCTGGATGATTGACTCATAAGATCCTTCAGCTTCCTTCACATCCTGCTACGAAACCGAAGCAAAAACTCTGAACCAAAAACTCTTACTTCTTCCCTTGGTGTAAATTCATGCTTTTCCTTCCTCTGATATAAGTGTCTTTACAAACATTTCTAATTTCTAATGAATGCACTTGTTATTTATTAGTGTGTTTTAAATACAGCTAGACAAGGTATAAAAGAATGCATAAGTTCACATACAAGAGTTAGTTCTTCCACATTGATCAAAACTACATGGCTGATAGATATTTTCCTTAATATCCAAGGCCACAGTATTTTCAAACTTTGCAACGTCATAAATAATCTCACAAGGCTGCCTTCACTCCCTTTAGTTTCTCAGAACAGGATATCTGGGAGAGTGTGGGGGAAGTTCAGACTTCACTTGTTCCTGGAAACAGAACTGACCTAATGACAGGAAAGAGGCAACAGCTGTGGTGATTCCCAGTCTTTGGCAGGAAAAGTCTCCTCCCATTGGTGGGAATCTCCTGGAATCTATGCCAAGCCCAACACCTGACCCTTGTCCTGCTTATGAATTCCAGTTAGTAATTTCATGCCCCTCCTTCAGAACCCCTTATAAAAAGCTGAGGTTTTGCTACCATAACAATCATCAGGTTCTTGCAAGAGGAAAGAGAGGTAAGTGGGAGCTGAAAGAAATGGAGAAGGTGAGGAAATGCCTCTGTCTCAGAGAACACAGGAGCTGAGACTTAGCAAAGGCTGCCCTGGGAGCTGTCATGGGATGTAGGGAACATAGATTTCCCAAGTCCTTTCAAATTATACGAGGGGGTGGGTAGGATCAAGATCAATGCATCCCTACAAAAGGAGACAGGAGAGAAGGAATGAACCAATGGTAACTGCATGTCCTCTACCTGACCACATCTCTTTCACAGAACCAGATCATCTCATCTCTCATTGACATGATGCTGGCATCCATGGCTCTGAGAGGCATGTCCTGGATGCTGCTGTCCTGCCTGATGCTCTTATCTCAGGTGCAAGGTGAGATTTCTCTGGTGCACAGTCAGAACCAAAAGGGAAAGGAAGGCGTCCTTGTGTCCCCCGTGGTAATGGTGAGATATACCCCACAAGAATACTACCTGAAATTCCTCCATTGCTCTGCCTTACTTCTGGTTACCAGTGGTGAAAGCACCACAGCAGTCTTTTAACTATACAACCAGATGGTTTTCCACTTGCTCAGGAACTTACAATTTACGTTAATGGGTTGAAATGGGTAAGTGTGAAAAGCCAGTGAAGAATTTTAGGTAAAAGTGGGGATTACAGAACCCAAGGTAGGAACTGTGAGCCTAGAGTTAAAGAAATAGTAGAACTTTGAATTAGGGAAAAGGAAACTGAGAAGAGATGCTTCCCCAAACAGTAGGTGTATTTAAAATGTTTCTCAAAGAATTAGGAAGCCAGGAGTATAGATTTGATACCCGAGCTTAGGTCTCATAATCATTCACTGATCCTTCTCCATTTCTTCTTCTACCCCAGGTGAAGATGCCCAGGATAAAATCCTTTCTCCACGCATCAGTTGTCCGAAAGGCTCCAAAGCCTATGGGTCTTACTGCTATGCCCTGTTTAAGACACCAAAGCCTTGGATTGATGCAGATGTAAGTACTCACCTGTGTGGCTGACAATGAAAGAGGAAAAGACGTATGGGTCACGGGGTGAAGTGTTCTCCTACTCTGGGTCTCTTCCTGGGAATTAGAAGGAACACCTTTGTCCTCTAGGCAATCCCTCCTTTTACATAATTCTGCTCTGCTGTTTCCCGAGGACATGCACGAATGCTTCCTCTCATTCTCTCATTTCCCCACACAGCTGGCCTGCCAGAAGCGGCCCTCAGGACACCTTGCATCTGTGCTCAGTGGAGCTGAGGGGTCCTTTGTGTCTTCCCTGATCAGGAGCAATGCGATCAACTACCAGTACGTCTGGATTGGGCTCCATGACCCAACTCTGGTGCGAGTCCATATTTACCTCTCTCTTAGCTCTCAAATGATAATTGCTTCCCAGGCTCCCTCTCTTGGATCTACCCAGGAAGACAGGCAGGAGTATTGACCTCAGATTCTGGGTGATATTTGGGGCAAAGGACTGTCCTTGAGGTCAGCTGAACAGTAGAATTTTGTGGAGATTCCCAGTCTTCAAATTAATCTACTTGGTTTTTACTGTTATGTAATTTTCACATAGTCCTTTCGAAAGCATTTTTCTAACCTTCAAAGAGCCTGCCCATACTATTTCAAGGAAATCGTAAATGAAGATATTATCTTTTTTTGCTGGTGTCTTTTTGAGACAGGGTCTTGCTCTGAAGTTCAGGCTGGCCTTGAGCTCACTTTGTAGCCCAGGCTGGTCTTAAACTCTCAGTGATACTCCTGCCTCAGCCTCCCAAGTGCTGGGCTTACAGGCGTGTGCCTCCATGCCTGGCATATAGAATAGTTATTGCTTTGAGATCAGAGGCTAACTGACTATTACAGCAGCACATATTACTTTATGATAAATGCCTCATTTTCTCAGAGGAAAGGAGAATTTAGGGAGAGCATCCCATTAGGGGGCTCTGAGAACCATGTGGAGAAGCAGGCAAAATTCCACAAAGCTGCAGAGAGAGTTTCATCTAAGGAATCAGGCCAGCAAGGCTGTACTAGCCGTCCCTTCACCTGATCGCATCCCTCTACCTTATAGGGCCTAGAACCCAATGGAGGTGGATGGGAGTGGAGTAGCACAGATGTGCTGGATTACTTCAACTGGGAGAGGAATCCTTCCTCCGCCTCCGACCGTGGTTACTGTGGGAGTGTGTCACGAAGCTCAGGTAAAAAACACAGGAGCTCTGCCCAGCCTTTCCCATCCATACTTCCCACTTCAGGGTCTGAACCTCAGGAAAACTTGTTGATTTTGGATATGCAATGTTTGTTTTTCTCCTTCTTTCTATCTCTTCCCATCCCTACTTGGTTTCAGACTTGGTCCCTTGGAGTGGGACACTGGTGAGGATGAGGGACAGGTGTTAAACCTAGGCCAGGATCTGAGATGCCTCTTTCTTTTTGTCTTCTTTTTTCCCCTTCTTTCTCCAGCTTCCCCAGTAGCTGGGAGTTCAAACATGTTTTTTTTTAATTGTTTTTATTAGTAAATGTTTGCAATTCATAATGATTACATTCCTTGAGGAGAATTGGTACATGGACATAACACAGTTTAATTTGTTTGTCATCGTTTCTCCTCCTTCCTCCCTCTGTTGCTTGGTCCCATTTCCTTTTACAAATGATCTATCTCCCTATTTCCTATTATCTACCTTTTATTTTGCTCTTTATTTGTATTTTGGGTTTCTCATATGAGAGGAACATGCAACATTTAAGCGTGTGCGTCTGATTTATTTCACTTAATATTTTAGTTTTGTTCACAAAATCTACCAGTTCAATTCACTTTACCTCTTCTGTCTTTAGGATTTCTGAAGTGGAGAGATTATAGCTGTGACGTGCAGTTGCCTTATGTCTGCAAGTTCAAGGACTAAAGTAAACAGCAGCCTCCACTGTATGCAGCACATCAAAAGTTCAAGATTGAAGATTTACCTAGGAAGGGAACATTCTCCTCATACCCCAAAGCCTGAGCCTTCTTGCTCATCTTGCCTTTTCTGCTTTGCTCTCTGCCCAGGCACTTTTGTGAGTGTTATGACCTGAGGCTTCAGAGAAGAATAATAAAATTTTAGTTTATACTGCTATTGAATTTATTATATACTTGTGTTCTACTTTTACATAAGTCCGTATTGATTGGAAATTTTGTAGGAAGGAAACTTCCTTTTTCCTATTTCTCCCAGACCTATGAGAGAATGTAGAATGATGCACCTCTATTAATGTATTGGGATGAAGGTTTTGGGCATGCTTATGTTAGGTTGTGTTTCAGACAAATAAAGATATTGCTCAGGCAAATTCTTACTGCCCGTGCATTCCGCCAGGCCATGTCACTGATACTGATGTCACTCACTCATAAGAGGTTCTGGCTGTGTTTTGCACATTGCTTTTTTGGAGAGTTAATTAGCAGCATGGCAGGGTAGGACTTTTCACCATGTGTTTCCTTGCAGGATTATCAATCTGAACAATTGTCTATTCGTAAAAATAATCTTACAAGACCTACATAGTCTGAGTGGAAGATTTCAACACTTTTAAATAGCAAGAAATGAGAACAGCTGTGTGAAGGTAGTAGGATGAACAGTTCACATGGCACGTGTCATCTTTTCCTACACCTAGGCAGTACAGAATGGAGGGAATTATCCTGTGCTTGGTCAAAGGAGGGTGATGAGTCCCCTCATTCTTTTATGGGCCCCAACAACACGATCACCCTTGTTAAACATAGTGCTCAGCAGGCTCCCATGCTCTGTATCAGGAAGCAGAAGGAGGAATTCTTATACCTGGCTTCTGTGTTTGCCTCTCGGAAAGCCAAATAAACCTTTCCTTATTTAAGTGTAAGTGCTGGGTATTTTATCCTGGAAATGGAAAAGTGAGTAATTTTCATAACAGTAGTGGAGTCCTTGCTCTAACTATACCTGTTATGGCTCCTGTCTGGATGTTCCCCAAAGCCTCTTGCAGTCACAGGATGGACTTCTAGAGTTTACGATTGGTTCATGGTCCAATGCTGGGATTATGGGTGTGAGTGCTGCACCTGCCCTGGGGCGGGTAGTTTGCATACAATGTAAGGGAGGGAAAGAGCCTACCCACTGTTTTTGCTGTTTTCCTCTGCCATGAACTGTTGCCCTCTGCCATGTGCCACTTCGCCTTGGAGCCAGGCAAGCACTGATTGAAACCTTCACAAACTGAGCTAAATAAATCTCTCTTTCCTTAATTCTGGGCATCACGTATTTTGTCTCAGCAATGAGAGAATGGTAACTGAGATAGTACCTAACCATATAATTCAGAACCCTTTATAAGTGGTTTGCCGGAGGTGTTTAGAAAGTATTGGAGATGTAGGCAAGAGAAGCCCTAGAGTGCTATAAGTAGAGCCTACTAGATGACTCTGGTTAGAGTTGAGAAGATATGATTACTAATAGAAATTCAGACTGCAAAAATTAGGCTCAGGAGATTTCAGTTGTGAATAAGGGCTTCCTTGAGGCCACATATTACCCCCAGTCAAAATGTTTATCTACACTTAGACTTCAGTTAAGGGCAATGGACTAATTGGTCTAGTGGAGGAAATTCCAAAACAGCCCAGAATTCAGGCTGTGTCATGGGTACTTCTGGCTGATGAGTACTGAGATTTATGGTGAGCATCAGGAGTCAAAAGTAGAAGTAAATGATGTGAAAATTTTATAGTTTGACCAGAAAGGAAACACCTAAAAAGTTGAGGCCAAGGAGAGCATGATTGCTGAAAAGATTAACATTAAGCAGTCAAGTAGTTTGCATCAGGACCATTGGGAAGGTGTTTTGAAGACATCTCAAGAAATGACCAGACCCCCACTGAGGACAGGCTCAAGTATGTGAAAGAATAAAATTATTTGAAAGAATTTGCTTTGAGAAATGACCCTAGGGCAGCTTTCTCATTTAGGGCCACTAAGGTTGTATATCCTTTTGTTCAGCAATCCAGGTACTCAGACGCTGCTGAGTCCATTGGGGAGAGGATCAGACTACTGCTCAAACTGAAGGCAGAACTTGATGTTATCCACATGGTGCAGGTGTTTCAAGCATGTTGAAATAAAAGTTATGGAGTCACACAGGCTTTTCACCAGATTTCTGTTTTACTGGTTTTTTTGTTGTTGTTGTTGTTGTTGTTGTTTTTTTGTCTTTTGAGATAGGGTCTTGCTATGCAATCCAGGCTGGCTTTGAGGCTCTTTGTAGCCCAGGATGGTCTTCAACTCACAAAGATCCTCCTGCCTCAGCCTCCTGAGTGCTGGGATTACAGGTGTGTGCCACCTCTCCCAGCCTTTGCCTGATTTCATAAGACCATGGGTGCCAGGCAATAAAAAAATCTGTTACAATATCACAGTTCCTTCCTGGACTCTCTGTGAGGGCAATGCATGAGGTTGTGAGAACAGCACTGTGTGAAGCCGAAAGAACAGTGGAGACCCCAGAAATATAGAACCTCTGCTGAGAAATAGCAGGTAGTCAGTGGATCCAGCAACAAAACAAAAACAAACAAAAACAAAAAACAAACATTCCATATAGGCTTCAATTGGCAAGGCTTTAAGGGCAAGGTTGCCCAATACTCCTGTAGCTCACACCTCACCAGAATCAGCCCCAGGTGCAGGACGTGAAAGTACAGGACTGAGTGCTTGCATGTTGCTGGGTTTTGGTTTTGGTCTTGCTGTGGCCTGATTCCTTTCTATTTTCTTATTTCTCCCTTTTGAAGTGAGAAGGTATACTCGGTGCCACTGTGTGTTAGCAGTATTTAACTTTATATTTTACTTTTATAGGGGCTCGCAGATAAGAGTTTGCCTTGAGTCTCAGAGGAGATTGTGGATTGGACATTTTAGCATTGTTGAAGCTGTCAAGAAGTTGATAAAATTAGACATTCACTAAATACATTTTGCATAATGAGATGGACAAGAGCCTTTTTGGCCCAGGGCATAATGTAGTTTTAGTTCTTAAATATTTCCTCAAAGTGCCGTGTGTTCAGAGATGGGTCCTATTCAGAAAGGGCAGATTGCTGGGGATGTAGCTCAGTGGCACAGCACCTGCCTGGAAAGCAGAAGGTCCTGAGTTTGATTCCTGGAACCAAACAACAAACAAACAGAAGTGGCAGATTACTAAGGCATCAGCTGGAAGATAGTATTTTTGTCCTTGGTTGCTTCCTTTGCTCTCTACTTCCGAACTCCCCTGATTTGAACAACTTTCATCTGCCCAGCCATCGTTCGCCTTAAGCCTGCCAACCATGGACTGAACACACTGGGAACTGAGCCAAACTAACCCCTCCTCTTTTAATTTGTGTGTGTGTATTTTGTCTGAGTGACAGGAAAGTGATTAGTATAAATGTAGTACTCGAAATGGTAAAACTACTAAAGAAAACATGTGAAAACTTCATGATATTGATCTGGGCAATGGTTTTTTTTAAAGATAAGACTCCCCTAGACAACTTTTGAAGGTAAATTAGTAGCATGACTGATTTAGCCATTGCTGTCAGTCACCTTCAGAAAAGAAATAACAACAGATAAGGCTCCCACAGCACAGGCAACAAGATGAATAACAGGCAAATGGTTTGTGTCCAAAAAAATTTTTTTGCAAAAAAAGGGAATTATTAACAGAGCAAAAGGCCAAGGTACAGAATGAGAGAAAATACTTTCAAAGCCTTCTTCAGACAGGGATCTCAGACAACTCAATGATAAGAAAGCAACCCAGTTAAAATATGTGTAAAGGATCTGCACATACATTTCTTAAAATACAAATATATGTTTCAATTTAAATATATTTGTAAATCTCCAAAGTACATTTCAAAAAAGTGCTTAATATCTCTCATTATTAAGAAAATGCATATAAAAACAATAATGTGATATTATCTTATACTATGAGAATGATAATTATCTACAAGATGGAAGGTAAATGTTAGCAAGGACACAGAAGAAAGGGAATCCCACACTATTGATGGGAACACAGTAGTTTTATAACCTTTATGCAAAAGAGTACAGAGATAGCTCAAAAAAATTAAACATCAAACTACCATATGATCCAGCAGTTTCACTGATTGGTGAACATCCAAAGGAAATGAAGTGAGCATGTAGAATAGAAGAATTTCTTCAACATCCATATTCATTGCAGCATTATACATGATAGCAAAGATATGTAATCAACCTCAGTGTCTGCCAATGAGTAAACAGATTTTCTTTGCGTGATAAGAATGTGAAAAACAGAATACAATTCAGCCTTAAGAAGGAAAAAGATCCTATTATTTGTGACAATATAGATGAACCTGTAGAACGTAGTATCAAGTGAAATCATCCTATGTGAGATAGGATCTCTTAAAGAATCTCTTACATAACAGCATTTATCAGATTAGATAACTGAAAATCTAGCAGTAAGATAGGCTTTGAGCTCCATTCAATGAGGGCTCACAGATGATTTGCCTGGGGTTCTCTTACGTGTGCTCTTCCATCTGGATGCATCAGTTCCCCACTTTCTTTTTCACAGCTCCAGATAGTTCCCAGGAGCAACTGGGGCTACCGACTCCTCATCATCACTAGAAGAGAGAAAATAGACTCTTTTTTAGTTTGTGAAAGAAACTATTGGTTTTCTCTTTTTAGGCAATTTGAGAAAAATCATTACATATTGCCAATGGCATGCGGTGGGATGCTCGTTGAAGACTGAATTACTGTATACCTTAGAATCATTATAACAGTGAACAGGATGTTGTGTTAAGTTATAAACTATCATGCTTTTGAGCTATAAACTATCTAGTGTCTAGGTGTATGAGCAAGCATCAGTGAACCCTCAGGGAAGCTGACCCTCAGAAAGATGAAGGGGTAGATTTCTGTCAAAGATAACAGGGTTCTATTACAGACAGAGGGAAAGGAAGCAATGAGGCCATGGAAATAGGAAATATCACTGCACACACATTCAGGCAGAGAGTGGCAAGGATATAAGACTTGATATCACAATCAAATAGAATTAAATGGCAAATAAAACAATTTAAGCCTTTTTTATCTGGTAATCCTCAAACGCCCTATGACTATCAAGAGTCAAGGTATAGGGGCTGGGGATTTAGCTCAGCAGCACAGCGCCTGCCTGGCAAGTGCAAG